CGCCCAGAGGACAACAGGGAGCCTGTCTGACCGCGGCGGCGGGAGTAGGAGGGAGAGGGGGGGAGCGGGTGCAAGACGAGAGAGGGGGGCCACGAGGAGGGTGGTGAGGAGGGTGACGGCCCGCGCCGCCGCCCGAGACATCCTCACAACCGCGGCGCTGCCGCTCGAGACATCCCCACAACCGCGGCGCCGCCGTTCAACACATCCTCACAACCGCGGCGCCGCCGCTCGAGACATCCCCACGACCACGGCGCCGCGGCCTCCCCAGGGGCGCGCACCAGGCAGATAGCACACTGCCCTGGGGGGGGGCGGGGGGGCGGGATGGCGCCGCCGCTCGGGGCATCCTCGCAACCGCGGCGCCGCCGCTCGGGGCATCCACGCAACCGTGGCGCCGCCGCTCGAGACATCCTCACGACCGCGGCGCCGCCGCTCGAGACATCCTCGCAACTGCGGCGCCGCCGCTCGAGACATCCTCACAACCGCGGCGCCGCCGCTCGAAGTACATATATATATATATATATATATATATATATATATATCCTCGTCCTCCTCATGCCGCTCTCGTGCTCCTCGTGAACATCACCCTCCTCCTCCACCTCCCCCTCCTAAGAAACCCTCCCCTACCCACGGGCGCACCAGGCAGATAGCACACTGCCCCGGGGGTGGCCGGGGGGGGCAGCGAAGCCAGGGGGCGTGGCCAGATGAGGTAGGGGAGAGCGGGGTGGGCAGGCTCCCCTTTCCCACGGGCGCACCAGGCAGATAGCACACGCCCCGAGGGGGCACACATTCTAAGACAAGTTGGAAGCGGGCCAGGTAGATAGCACTGCGAACATGGCGTTTCGCCCAAACACGCGCGCCAGGTAGATGGCACAATCTGAACGGCTTTTTTGCAAACGCCATGAGTTCGTTTTGGCGTATAGTCGGGCGGGCGAGCGGGACATGGGATGCAACTGGCACTCGGTGATGGGACGGCGCCGAGGACAGGCAGGAGTGTCTCAGGGCGTCTGGAGGGGAGCTTTGGGGGGCCTCCTGGGGCTTCTCACGGGGACTTGTTGGGGCCTCTTGCGGGCCTCTTGGGAGCCGCTCGGGGCCTCAATGGGGGCCCCATGGGGCGGAGAGCTCGACATGTCGGTTCGCGTTCCCCCTCTGGGGTCCTCTGGGGTCCCTCTTGAGGCGTTCTTGGGGCCCTCTTGGGTCGTCTGGGGGGCTTCTTGGGCCGTCTCGGCGCCCTCGTGGGAATGTCGGGGCGATGTTTCGGGCCTCCGCATCCGTCTTGGAACGTTGGAAAGCCCAAAAGGCAAAAACGCGAACATCTAGTTTAAACCCCTTTTGCCTCTTGGGGCCCTTTTGGGGATGCGTTTGGAAACCTCTTGGGCCTTGCTGGAAGCCTTTGGGTCGTCTGGAGGTCATATTGGACGCGTTGGAACGATATGTCGGCGACTCTGGGCCCCCGTGGAGGTCTCTTGGGGTCCTTTGTGTTGTCTCTTTTTGTTGCTTTGCTTGTTTGTTCCTTTCTCCCCCAAACTTGCACTGATCCACGGCAACCTTGGTGGCTGCAGCCGTGTCTTGACACGGCTCACATATATCTATAGCACAGGCCGTGCAAATCAACAACCGCTCACCGGCACGAATAGGGCTGTCACAACAATTGTAAGAGTAGTTGCCCGACGTGCTGGTTACATGTGGTTAATTGCCCCAGACTGGGGCAATTGAGTTGGAAACTAAATTCGCACAACAGGTTCACATCCTCAGGAACGCGGCCAAGACGACTCACATCCACAAGGGCTCGGACCGCCAGGGGTACAAGAGGAACATCAGTCGGAACACGATGGCATGAGGTGTATCAGAAAGCTTCGGCGACGGCTTGCCAAGCCTCTTTCGGAGATCGTCCAACAGGTTCAATGAGCTGGTGTCAGGCACGAATAGGGCTGTCACAACAATTGTAAGAGTAGTTGCCCGACGTGCTGGTTACATGTGGTTAATTGCCCCAGACTGGGGCAATTGAGTTGGAAACTAAATTCGCACAACAGGTTCACATCCTCAGGAACGCGGCCAAGACGACTCACATCCACAAGGGCTCGGACCGCCGGGGGTACAAGAGGAACATCAGTCGGAACACGATGGCATGAGGTGTATCAGAAAGCTTCGGCGACGGCTTGCCAAGCCTCTTTCGGAGATCGTCCAACAGGTTCAATGAGCTGGTGTCAAACATGTACTTCGTCATGCCAAGAGGGTCCTCGCAGCAGCTGGGGCGAAGGTATTTCGCATTAGAACAGAATCAGTGATTAACTTGCAAACGACGCTTGCCACTCAGGGCCTCGTACTTGTTCAGGTAGTCGTCCAGGGCATCCGAGGGTTGAGATTCAAAGGGTAACCAGGGGCATGAGCAGGAATGTCAAAAAATCAGGAAAAGATCTAGCACGAAGGGGTTCGCGAAGATTACCGGCACGAACGAGGACAGCAGCACAAACAACCGACATACATAATGTAGGCTGCACGCCGAGGGATGGCGAATAAGAACAACGCGAAAGAGGACAATGAGGACTGATCGGGGTAACAACAAAGTCGGGAGCCGGTTTCGTTACTTGTTCTGCAGGAGGCAATTCTGACAAAACCAGGACGCTTCGATTTTGGGGTGAAAGCCCATTAGTCAACTGTACTAACGATTATTCTATAGTTTGAAGGCGCTTGTGCACCCCCCCCCGAGAATCTTCAGAAACATGGCCACGACGCTCGGCAATGACGCCACGATGCTGCTTCCAAGGGTCGGCAGGAACACGAACAAGAACTTGAGGCGAAGAAACAGCGGTAGCCCAGGGACCCGGGGAATAGAGCGGGTCAGCGCCCTCTGTCGCCACACTCGGCGGCGCAGACGGTAGCGGCACGAAGAGCTACAATTCCAACTTCACGTTTGGCACGTTTCGCAATCTGGCGGGTACGCGTAGCAACCTTTTAAGAAACATCCTGAGCACCATCACGGATAGCAGCATGAGCGGCATGTCTAGCGAAAAGATGAGGGACTCCAGATGAGGAGTCATGATATCCATGGACTTGCATAGAATGAACAACTTGCTTTGCAGATGTAGTCATCCACGGGGGCACAGAAATCCACGTTTCACACTTGTCAGCGCGAGGGCAAACAAATCCGCGAGCACGAGCACGAGCACGAGCACCACGAACAGCAAGAGCTGGAGCCGAATGCTTGTGCACCAGATTCACCACACCAAGGCGGTGGACGCAACCAACACACTGCAAGCAGCGGGCTTGAGCCAAAAAGGCTACGGGGGTCCTTTTCATGTGTTTTGGGGCTGTCTTGGGCCGTCTGAAGTCGTTCCTGGCGGCCTCGTCCCGCCATGCGCTGTCGAGGGCCCCGTCCTGGGCACCCGCGCCTCGTTCCCAAGTATATCGGTATATAGGCGTACACACAAATATATAATATAAAATAAATTCACCCATCAACATATTCACGCCGGCGTGGAGAGGATCGAACTCCACGTCGAACCGCATCGCCGATGCATCGGTCATGCGGCGCGATCCTCCGCCCCCATCTGCTCCGACGCCATATGCAAGGCCTAGAGTGAGGAAACTAGGGTAGGAAGGGGTTGGAAGCGGCAAGGCGGTCTGCGCTGGATGAGCCCCGAGAGAATCAGTGCGGGGGGAGGGGGACGGGGGCAAATCCGTTCAGAATCTGCCCCATGGACCATGTCGAAACCGACAAGTTTTCCGAACCGCCTCAAGCAGATGCGACGAGAAGGGCGTAACAGATCGGCGGTGCACTCACGGTGGCGAATCCGAGCACTCTTATTGGCAACACGCGGGGCGCGGGCCGGCGAGATGGCTGATTTGGCGACAGATCGAAACGATCCTGCACGGAAGCGGGACCCGTCGCTTATCATCGTTAACCAGCGCCCCTTCATTGTTCATGGTTGCGCGTCCTCGACTCAGCACCTCCCCCTCCTCCAGTTCGTCTTCGGTGCCCCTCCTGAAGGGGCCCCCTCCTCCAGGACCCAGACGCTATTACTCTTTCACGGCGTGGGTGGGCCCCCAGAGGGCTCGACCCCCTCCCTGGGGCCACCAGTAAAGGCCTCCTAGATGGGGTCGAAGTAGATGTCGTCGGACGATCGCGCCGCATCGGCGATGCATCGGCGATGCATTGCCGACGTCGGCGACACATCGGCGACGTCGGCGTGGAGAACATCGGGCGGCTCCACATCGAGCCGCATCGCCGATGCATCGGGGATGCGGCGCGATCCTCCGACCCCATCTACTTCGACCCCATCTAAGAGGTCTAGAAATCTGGACTATCTCGAGCCGTTTCTCTTCACCGATTCGGCGGCCTGGTAAGCTCCAAGAAACAAACACAAACAAAAATCGTCGCGAGGGGACCCTGGAACCCGGGGCCGAACCTCGGCCCTGACCTGGTCAGACTTTCGAAGCGAATCCAGCAGTGGCGACGAGAAGCCGCCTGGAGCACCAACAAAGCCAAAAGACGCACTCGAAAATCTCGATCCAATTCCCACACCTCGAAGTTCGATCCCCCATAGAAGAAACAAAGCGGTACAAACATGACCTTTCGGAGGTCCGCACGTATTTCTCGGATCGGCGATACACCTTCTTTCCCTGGCGCGCGGAGCTCGCCAGGGGCGGCGCCAGACGCGCCAGGGGGGCCTGGCGCCGATCCACGAAATCCACTCAGAGCTTTGAATTTACGTGTAAACAATTGTTTCTTCTCCGACCCTCAGAGATCCGATGCCTTGCTTTTTCGAATGCAGGCCTCCCAAAGTCCCACCCCCCCACCCTCAACTATCGATTCTCCTGAATCCATGGGAGGCGGGGCTAGGTTTTGGATTTCGCCACGCGTTTGACGAAGTCCGAACCCAACCCCCGCCGCCCATCGAATTGCCCCTGAATCGTTGATCGGCGATGGTAGGTCTCGGATTTCGCCTCCGACGCATTGAATTGCTCAATGCGTTGGAGGCCAGGGCAGCTCGACTCCCGGCCCCCCTCCTGGTCGATCTCGTCCGGGAACCCGATGGCGGACTTGGCGAGCCGAGCGACGACGCCGAGCATCTCCGCGGAGGCCTCTGCCGCGGGCGGGTCCGCCGTGGCCTGGCGGCGCGCGGAGCGGAGGAGGGCAGAATCGGTCAGTATCGAATCGGGAAACTCGCATCGAATGTCCTCCTTCCGCCCCATCCCCCCCTTCCCCCCTCCTCCCCTCACCATCTTCCTCCTTCTCGTTCTCCACCTTCTTCCTCCTTCTCCTCCTCATTCGCCTCCTTCTCCTATTCCTTCTCCTTCTCCTTCTTCTCTTTCTCCACCTTCTCCTTCTCCTTCTCTTCCTCTTGTCCTCAGACGACACCAAGAGCTGGACAACATGGGAACGGTATACATCCGAGATCTCTGAAATCCTGTGGTCTGGAGGATGTACCACGCTCCGCGGCCATTCCAGAACGCTGCTGAAAACACTGAAAACATTCCGAACAGCCTGAACGATGTATGCTGGTCCTAGCCCCTCATCTTCCGTGACCGTAACGGCAAAATGTGTGTCCTTCTCGCCCCCCTGCTTCTCGTCCTGCTCTCATCGGCCGTGGGCAAGATCGCTCAGCATCTAACCAGAAACTCGGATCGAACTGGGATGCAACTCGGATCGGGACGCATCGGTGCGGAGTCGAGATCAAATCGGATCGGACGCGCCAGGATGCACGTCATCACCCGTGCAAACATCGGACCGAATCGGATCCGCGCATGTCGGAACCGAATCAGATCGGGCCGGCTGGAGTCGGACCTCTCCCAGAGTCGTTCTGACCAGAATTTCGGGGCGAATCCATCCGTGGCGGCTAGGGCCTCCTGGGAGGCCCAAAAGAGCGAAAACGAGCGTGTTGGTACCTCTTCCTCCCTGGAGATCTGGCTCGATCGGATCGAAATGGATACCCGAAGCCTCCATCGGAGGCCGTGCCCACCGACGACGATAACGCCGACACCGACGACCTTCTGCAGGAGCGAAGGGCCTGCGAGGCCTGGGGCGGCTCGTCGAGGCCCCCAAGCAGTGCCGCCGCGCCCGCTTGCCCGCCAGGCGCCCCCGGCGCGGCGGCGGCGTCCGCCTGCGACGGCGCCGCGCGGCGCCGACGCCGAGGACCACCATGCCGACGCCGACGCCGACGCGCCGCCGACGACGCCGACGACGCCGACGACGCCGCCGCCGGCGGCGCCGACGTCGAGGGCGAGGACGGCGATGCCGCCGAAGGCGACGACCACGCTGAAGACGACGGCGACGCCGACGGCGGCGCCGACGACAATGGCGAGGACGGCGACGGCGGCGACGACGACCAGAGGCGACCAACGGCGACGCCGACGACACCAACAGCGAAGGCGAGAACGACGACGAAGCCGTTCGTCCTTCTTGGACCTCCTGAAGGCATCCCGCCGTCGCGGCTGCTTCCCCCCTCAAGTCCTAGTCAAAACGCACCTTTGAATGGCCCAGGACCAACTTTGGCCCAAGCCTCCTCCCCCTCCTCCACCTCCTCCTCGTCCGCCTCCACTCCTCGCCCAGCCCAAGCGCGGCTCTGCAAACATATGCCCCTGGGGGTGGTCTAAGAACCGATCTTGAGCGGATTGTGGCTGGACGACGACGACGCCGACGCCGGGCACGGGACGTGAGCAGGAGAAAGGAGGCAGATGGATGAGGCGGGGGGGCAGGAGAAGGCAGAGAGAATAGAAGACAGCAGGAGTGGGGGTGGCGAGAAGGGAGACAGCGGACTCAGCCTTTGTCGACGCGACGGCTGTGACGGATCGTTCGGGGCCGTTGCCCTGAGCGGGAACTCGAGCTACTCTACATAACCTGTGGGCCAGCCCGACGAGACGGGGCCTGCCCGCCCATCAGTGGGCAGAGGGGAGAGGAGTGGGGAGGACTGGTGAAGAGGGAACGGATGAGGAGCATTTCGGAGGACGGAGGATGAAGATGTGGCAGGAAGGGAGCTGGGAGGACGTGCAGGAGGTGAGCGAGAGGCGAGTCGGCAGCGACGGGCGCACCCCGCTCGAGGACGGAACGCTCAGCATCATGCCAAATCTCGGTCGAGACAGGGCATGGAGGGGGCAGGACGGGGGACAGGTTTGGGCTCTGCGGAAGCTACGCGGGTCGAGCGATCGAAAACGCAAGGGTGGAGCAGACCTCAGTCACTCCGCGGACAGACAAACCAATTAGAAAAAGAAACGATGGCATGAACATGAACTTTGACGTTCCGCGCGGATCTCTTGGATCTGCGCTGGACCCCCTCCTTAACGTGCGGAGCGTAACGAATTAGCGCAGAGCGCCAAAAGCTTACGTTTATGGCGATTTCTCTTCTTCGCCCAATGACATAAACAGAAACTTTAGGAGGTCCGCGCTGATTTCCTGGATCGGCGCTGGACCCCCTCCCAAACGCGCGGAGCGCGCAAGGGGCTGCGCCGGAGGAGCCGCCAATGGGGCCTTGCGCCGATCCACGAAATCCGCGCGGACATCCGACAAAAATTAGCCTGACGAAGGACCCAACCATTGGCAGTTGCGAGTACCGCATTGTGGGAACCGGTTTCGGTGGAGCTCCTATGGGGCCACGAAACTTCTTAGGGGTGCGCCGAAATTGGTGGCGCGGACGCATGTGGACACCGCCACTGGGGCCTTCGGTGTAGCTCCCTATGGGGCCACGAAACGCGGCCCTGGGCGAGGGAGACGCATGCGAACTGCGCCATTGGGACATTCGCTTGAGCTCCTTATGGGGCCACGAAGCGCTGTCATGGGTGGGGGAGACGCATGCGAACTGCGCCTCTGGCGCCTTCGGTGGAGCTCCCTATGGGGCCACGAAAAGCTGTCCTGGGCGGGAGAGACGCATGCGAACACCCCGATTGAGGCCTTCGGTGGAGCTCCCTATGGGGCCACGAAGCGCTGTCCAGGGCAGGGGAGACGCATGCGAACACCCCCACTGGGGCCTTCGGTGGAGCTCCCTATTGGGCCATGAAGCGCTGCCCTGGGTGGGGGAACCGCATGCGCCCACCCCCACTGGGGCCTTCGGTGGAGCTCCCTATGGGGCCACGAAACGCTGCCCTGGGTGGGGGAACCGCATGCGCCCACCCCCACTGGGGCCTTCGGTGGAGCTCCCTATGGGGCCATGAAACGCTGCCCTGGGTGGGGGAACCGCATGCGCCCACCCCCACTGGGGCCTTCGGTGGAGCTCCCTGTGGGGCCAAGAAACGCTGCCCTGGGTGGGGGAACCGCATGCGCCCACCCCCAAGTGGGCCTTCGGTGGAGCTCCTTATGGGGCCACGAAACGCTGCCCTGGGTGGGGGAACCGCATGCGCCCACCCCCACTGGGACCTTCGGTGGAGCTCCCTATGGGGCTGCGAAACGTGTGAGAGGTGTGCCGACAGCAGAGGCAAGGAGGGGGATGAGGGAGGAGGGGGAGGAGGGCGGGAAGGAAGGAGGAGGAACGCGGGGCACCGTCTCTTCAAAACGAGGACCCAACACCACAGGATGGTTGGGAACTATGGTTATGCAGTTCGTTGCTCTTCAACTAACAGCGCGCTTCCTTCCCACCGAGATCCCAGAGTGACAACGAGGCATAGGGAACAGCGGGGCAAGCGGTCGTCCCTGGTGATCGGGCGCGAGGGGCGCGTTCACGCGCTCCCTTGAGGGAAGATATTGTTGTTTGGCCATCGTTGACTGGAACACTGACGGTGGAGGTCAGGTAAGATAAGAAGAACACCAAGGACACTCAAGCCAATTGCGGCAATGACCAACGCAAGACGGGAATCCTGGTCGCCAATGCCCGACTCAAGCCCGCTATCACGGGGGCTTCGGGCAGACATGGAGTCAGCCGAGAGGCCGTTCCTCGCCACCTCGCCAAATGTATTGTTTTGACACCACTGCCACGGGCCCACAATCAGATTGGGCAGAACGAAAAGCGCTCGAGAGACACCCAGACCTTCTTCGGGCGAAGTCCTTTCCCGAGCCTCCTCCAGTTCTCGCACTTGTGAGGATGAGCAAAAGGCCTGCGCTGATAACCAAGCTGTGCGAGACCGCCGACGAATACATAAAAGACCTCGCGCAATGAGGAGAATGAGGAGGGAGGGTGTAGAAGGAAGATGCAGGGACGAAACCCAGCAACAGAAGCGAACAATCAGGGACCGCCCAACACCCCGCGTCGAACTGGCGCAAGAAGTTTCGGGAACGGCACCCCTGGGACGAAGACGCGAAGCGTTGCCCAGCGTCTGAGCCCCGCCCAGCACGGCTGTGCCATGTGCTCGCGGCGGAGTGCGCTGCAACCAAGAGGTTGTAGACAGGAGGAGAGATAGAGAGAGGAGAACGGGATGAGGGGCAGGACGGGCGAAGGGCGGGATCGGAGGTAGAGGGGGGGGGGGCGAGGGGAGCTCTTCCGGGGGCGGGGACGCGTGCTGCTGTCGGCCGACTCTCTCTTCTGCTGCTCCCTCCTCCACTTCCGCCCCTGCTCCGTCCGCTGTCCAGCATGCTTCGCTTCTGTCTTTGTTCAATCTCCCCGTCCACGACCTCGGCCGCCACAGACTGCGACCACGCCATACTACGACCCTAGCGACCACGACGACGACGAGACGATGCGAGCGACGGCTGGGACGTCGAAGGCTCTCCGATGAAGCGCCATCCGAAGGGACTGCCCGAGAGAGGCGGTCCGAGAGGCCTTTTAGGAAACATCAAGATACTCACCTCTACTCCACGGACCCTTCCTGGCGTGCGTTCTGCCCAGGGTTCCGAGGCGAATCGTATGATGCGTCTTCGGGGGACCCTGTCTGTCCCATCGCACCCCTATCCGCGTCGAATCCGTGTCGAATCCATGTCGCATTCGACGAATCCGCGTCGAATCCATGCCAGATCTGCGTCCAGTCCGCGTCGAACCCGCGTCAGGCATGAGGAAAGACACCGAACTTGGGGAAAGACAAGGTCTCCCGAAGATGTAGCGCAACGAACCCAGACGTGGCCACGAGAGAAGGACGCACAAACAACGCACACAAACACACACATACCCATAGTGGGGTTCAGAAGGAGGAAACCTAGCTATGGGTAGGCATGTGTAGGTCGTCGGACTCCGAGGGGACCTCCCGTTCGAGTGGGGACCCCCATCCGACAAAACGCACCCATAGCCCCCCTCCGTCTCCCTGATGGCCAGGGGTGTGTTTGTGTTGTCCGGTCGGCAAGGAGAGATGGCATCGGCACCTCTTCGGGCAGGCCACCGCAAGTGTCCGCCCTTCCGAAGAGCGCCACGACGGTCGCCGACGACGACGACGACGACGACGACGACGACGACGACGACGCCGACGCCGACGCCGACGCCGACGCCGACGCCGACGCCGACGCCGACGCCGACGACGACGACGACGACGACGGCGACGGCGACGGCGACGACGACGGTCGACGACGGCATCCCGATATCCGACGGCGCGTTTGGAGCCCGTTTCGATACCTAATTCGACCCAGTTTTTTTTGGCCTTTTTTGTCACGCCCGAAACGTGGCGAAAACGCAGGAACCAAAAAACTTGGAACGCCAGAACGCAGGGGACCACGACGACGACGACGACGACGACGACGACGACGACGATCGGCGGCGGCGGTGGCGGCCTGCGGCCCCGCCGCCGCGAGCAACCGCTCGCAGGCGGCGGCCGCCGCCGCGGCGCCGGCGCCGTCGCGGAGGTCCTGCGGCACGCGGGGCCGTGCCAACATCGGACCGTGCTCGGGTTTCGAACTTCGGTCCTCGCGCGTCGATCCTCGAATTTCGCCGTTCGATCCTCGATCTTCGTCCTTAGATCCTGGGCCAAGGGACCCGGATCCTCGAGACTATTTGTTTGGAGCGCGACCGCCGGAAATCGATGCCGCGGGGCGGGGCGTGCCAGCATCGGACCCTCGGTGCTCGAGCTTCGAACGTCGACCATCAAACCTCGAGCCTACTTCGTCGATCCTCTCAGACTCTAGGCGAACTAGGATGCCTAACTTCGCGCATCGCGCCCCACGATGCGCGGTCATCTTCGCGCCCTCGCGCCCCCGCGCGGCCGCTTTGGAGACGGGCCGCCGCTCTGGTCCAAGCCGCGACGCGCGAAACGCAATCATCCTCACGCCCCTGGGGGTGAACTAGATCCTCGACCCTTGATCTTCGACTCTGACCGTGGACCCTGTAACCGCGCACCCCTGATGTTCACCCCCCCTGGATAATACAAGTCAGGGTCCCGAGGGGGAGAATATGGGTTTTCCCGGAGATCGCAGCGTAATGGTGAGGATGATGGTGGTGATGGTGTTGAAGGTGAGGACGATGCTGCGAATGATGGTGATCCTGGGCGCCTTTCTACATCCTCGCTCTGGTGGCCCTTGGCGCTCCTCGAGATCTGGTATTAAAAAGTTGCCTGAACTCTGGAGGTCCTTGGCACGCCTCGCCAGGAAAACTCTCTTGCGAACTACCTCGAACCGATCGCCCATGCAGGCTCGGCACCCCTTAGTGTCGTCCTTGCAGGGCACACACTTTGTGCAAGCCTGCCCGGCGGCTTGAGCCTCCTCGAAGGAAGGAATTGTGGTTGGGCTCTAGAGCGGTCGGGTCCTTCGGCGGCTGGGCCTTGCCACACCTTCGTGAGTTGTGGAAGGTGAACTGGTGAGATTATCATTGTCATGCCAAGCGTTTTCAGGATGTTGCTAATCAACAAACGAAGATAACAACTTCGATGTGCAATGTTCCCCGCGGTTAAAAATATCGGCCTTGCCGCTCCTTTTCCCCGACCAAATCTTCTGTGGCCAGGGATACTAAACTACCGGGGGTGAAAAAGGGGGATGAATTATTATCCGGGGGCCGCGGGTACTCCCGGGGGTCTTCAGACCCACCCCAGTGGTGGCATCCAATTATCTCTTCGACGCCGTTATTGACGGACGGGGGTCCCACCAATGCTGGGCAATTTTTTTATATTTATATATATATATATGAATTCTCCGAGGCACCCGCCGCGCAACAACGACGAAAACGACAACGACGACGACTGCGATGTGAGGAGCAGAAGAAGGAGGAGGAGGAGGAGAAGAAGAAGGAGGAAGAGGAGGGACGAGTTTTCTTCCCCGCCGAGAGAAGCAGAGGGAGGAGCAAAACTAAAGACCAGTGGTTAGCAGAGGTGCGTCGGGGCAGGGCGCGTCAATATCGCATCCTCGACCCCTGACCCTCGACCGTCAACAGGCTGGCGCCACAAAATGCGGCCGGCGGGGGCCCGGTCGGCATGGGATTCTCGAGTCTCGATGGCTCGATCCTCGGCCCTCCACAGACCCTCGATCCTTGGTGGTCGAGGTGGTGGATTGCTGTATGCATATATGTCCACCGTTGATACAGTAGACCATTTTTGAGGCTCCGGTGGCGCTGACAGCGCCCGAGGTCCAGCAGCCTAGCCGAGCGTCCTGACTGCTGCTCTCTTCAGTGGTTCTGAAGGGGCTGGCTCGATTGGAAACACAATTTTCGACTCGTCATTGTTCATCTTCTTGGGGCTCGCGCCGTGAAAATCAAGCCGGACGGATTTGGGCCCTTTTCCAGCCTTTGGGGAAAGGGGTCGGGCCTTCTGGAGGCTTCGTATCGACAAATCAAGACATCGGATGTCTGGTTCGAGATCGATCCTCGACCCTCGGCCCTCGAGCTTCGACCCTCGACCCACCTCTTCCCTGGAGGAAGGGGGTGTAAGAAGCAGTCGGCATCGAACCGGGACATCGGATCGGGTCGCATCGGACGGGAGATCGGTTCGGCCGCGCCAGGGTGCACAGCAACGCCCATGCAAGCATCGGGCATCGGGCAATGTCGGATTGCAGGGATTTCGGAATCGAATCGGGTCGGGCCAGCCGGAATCGATCGCGAATCTGATCGCAATGGGCCCCGCTGTGTAGCAGGATCGGCAGACCGAACGACGTATCTGCAGCGAAAGCTGAGGATGCCGATCGACCGCTGGACCCGAATGCCACGACTACGGAGATGGGCGTTCAGCGACTCAGGCTTTAGATTGCGGCTTCTGGACTGGCAGGGCGTCGCTGTGTTTGAGGCATGCGAACCAATTCTCAGACGCATCGCTGAAGCCGTGCGTTCACAAAAAATTGCAGCACCATCGTTCTCGTGGCCGAGGAGGAGGGGCACGACGAACCTAGATCGAGGGGGGAATGCTCCCACAACCTCAGGATCAGACAGCACCCGACCGGAAAACCGGATCGAATCGGATAGTCTCTCGAATCGGGCCGCAGCTTGGGGGATCGACGATGGGGTCGTGAGGGATGGGGCCATACGGATATGACAGCGCCTCATGGTTGAATTTGCACTGCGCAGGGCCTCCCCCCTTCAAGGCCACATGGGCGACAAAAATACACGCGTGTTACGAGAGATGGCATTACGACCTTACGCGATGGCTTGGGCGGGCCGCCAGCGTGGCACGCCAGATTGGAAACCAGGGCGCTTACGCGCGACTTCACGCGGGCAACTTACGCACCAATGCCCGTGCAGTTGACCCCGCTTCCAGCCGTCGCTCATTTGCCTCGGGGCCCCATCTTTGACGTGTCGAGCATCGTCGCGGAGCTGAAGACCCAACGGATCGGCCGCGCGCGGAATGCACAGCAGCGCCTTTGCAAGCATCAGGCCGCATCGAATCGCCCAAACATCGGAGTCGAATCGGATCGGCCAAGCTGGAATCGACATCGGCTGGGATCGATCAGATCGACATGGGTCGGCGGGTGAAAACAACATCAATGTCACGCTGGCCGGACGATCCCCCTTCAGCGCACAGCTCTTGCAGAAGTGCCAGGATTTTGTTTGAAGAGCACATGGGTATGACGCGCAATTTGGAGAACGACACGCGAGTCATCTGGTTGGGCGAGAAACACATCCACATCCACGGGCGCCGTCCAGGCCCCTGGGCCGAGCCCCCCTGGATGCGGACGGTTTTCACGCGGACGCCCCCCGCGGAACGTACATCCGTGCGACCGCGCCTCCGCGGGATCGCGCACCAGAGCCCAGACCGCGAAGGCATGGACATTGACGTGTTCGCCGCCCCTGATCCCCTGACAACCGTCGGCATGCTGCTCCAATCCGCGGCCCCAGGAGGTCCCGACCGCTGCCCCGGGGATTGTCCCGAGGCTCGGCCACGGCTCCATGAGGGCCGAAATCGAGGCAGAAGCACGTCCAGATGGACCAAACACGTATCGGCGGATATCTGGGTCGTTGCTACTCTTCTTGGCGGCGCGCACACCAGGGGGTACAAATATTTCTTGGAGGCTGTTGCCCTTAGAAGGAGCCGGCCGCCGTTCTGAGTCGGGGGCGCGCCGCTCCGTCCAAGCGCGGGCCCTCTCCTTTTCGTAGGACCACGGAGCGGAACCCCTCAGAAGCTCGCAACAACTCCTCAGGAGCAAGCCCGCCGGTCTTGGAAACAAGCCATGGACAGCGTTTGAGAGGCAATCGCCAGCTTCTTGAAAGGGGGCGGCCCGCGCCTTCGAGGAAGGGCGGGTGCTTCCAAGAGGCACTCCCCTCTCCCCTCTGCGCGTGCAGAGCTGAAACGCTGCACAGACACAATTTCTCGGAGGTCCGCGCAGATTTCTTGGATCGGGGCTGCATCCCCCTCCCTGGTGCGCGGAGCGCGTCAAGGGCGGCGCAAGGGCGGCGACGCCAGGGGGGACATCACGCCGATCCACGAGATCCGCGCGGATCTCCGAAACATCATGGTTATGCATGTTGATGTTGTTCAGATACCCCCTTCCGCCACCCCCCTCTGTCGGAGGCCTCCCAGATGGGGTTGGAGAGGGTGGGGCGGCGACGTCGGCGTGGAGAAAATCGGGCTTCACATCGAGCCGCATCGTCAATACATCGGCGATGCGGCGCGATCCTCCGACCCCATCTGCTCCAAGATGTGGCCCCAGAAGGGTCCGTCGTCGTCGTCCTCCTCGTTCTCCCCAAACCTCCGACGCCACTGCATGTTTTCTTAACCCGAAAAGGGTCCGTCGTCCTCCTCCTCCTCCTCCTCCTCCTCCTCCTCCAACCCAAACCTCTGACACCTGGCGCGTGGCTGATCTTCATCCCTCCCAGGTGGGCCCCGATCTCCCCCGCGCCTCCCTCCGCCGCCTGGCCCGCCCCGCCCGCAAGGTGGCCTGGAAGATCTCCGCGGCGCGCCGCGCAGCGCCCAGCCCGAGCTCCTCGGCGGCCAGAACTCAAGCGAAATCGAGCCAGGGACAAAATCGGATCCGGATAAATCTGTCCGCCCGAGAGAAACAAACAACATACCATAATTACTGCACATCCCACGGGGTTGGACGAAGGTCCTGGTCGTGAGCTTGGTCAACAAAATTCCCTGCCTGGGGCGTGGTTCTGGTAGAGTAAACGTGGCCCCAAGCGGTAGAAACTGACTGGGGCGGGGAGGGTGTGTTATACAAACAATTAGTCTCGAGGAATCGGGTATCTCTGAGAGCGGGGGGGGTCGCACAGACAGCGCCCTCAGGTAGTTCCAGCTGGCCTCAGCAGGTCCAGCCCCCGCCCGAGTGGTTACGGCTGGCCTCAAGCGGCCTGCTGAGTGGTCTGGGGCGGGCTCAACACCTCAACCCTGGGGCGCGAAGAGCCCCAGGGGCGCCGCCCGAGGCGGCCCCAAGGTGTCGAGACCGCCGCGAACTCCCGGGGGGGCCCGCGGAGGCCAGCTGGGACTACTCGCGGGGTCTGTCGAGGCCAGCCGGACTAGCTAGCGGGGGCTGCCTGTGCACAACCCGAAGACTCACCAAGCGGGTCTGGAGGGTGTGTCGGGCGCCGCGTCGGGCGTTGCCTCATGGGCTCATGGGGGGGGGGGGGGGCGAAGAAGCGTGCATCTTTCGTGCCCCTTCTGGGCCTCTGGGGGCTCCTTTAGGCCCTCTGAAGGTGAAAAAGGTGCACGCTTCCCCTCCCCCCCCTTCTCCCATTCATCGCACCTCCCACTGCGCCTCGCCCGAGCCGCGGCCGTGCCGGAGCGCTCCGGAACGCTCTACGTAAGAGTGTCCCAGAGCGCGCTGGAAGGGAAGGACTTGTCCCCGTCCTCGCCCCGCCCGTGCTGGGCCTCTCGGGTAGGACGAGACGGGGGGGTACAGCAAAAGGGGGGATACACCAGGCCCGCATGGGGGATGAATCCGCGATCGGGGATCTCACGAGCGGCGAATGGGATCTGTAGCCGAGCCCTCGTGGTCTGGAGTCTTGGGCGCGATCCCGCCGATACGCGGTCGCACGGATACGCTCCCCCGCGACAAAAACGCCGTGTCCGCGGGGTCGCGGCCCAGGGGCCCTGGCCCGCGAGGTCGCGGGTACGGATATCCACGAGGGTCGACGCGCTCCCCTCTGAGTCTGGTCCCCCCTCCAATGTTACGCCTGACAGCGGCCGAAGATGGACCATAGGCCCCAACGTTGCCCGCTTGGGCCGGACGAGAGGTCAGGAGGTAACTCCTGGGAGGTCTTCGCACGAACGATCAAAAACTATTCGGCCCGACTCGACATGCTGAATTGAGCCCATCATTACGCGAAACTGAGCGGGATTGAGCGGAATGGTGCGGGCATGTGCCGCATGTTGAGCCCGGATACACCATCGCCGATGCCGGGTCGACCCTCTCAGGAGTTGTACCCTAAGAGAGGGGTGATGACAGAAGCGAAGCGAGGCGATTGCGCGATGTCGGTCCGAGGGGAGCAGCCCTAGGAGGGCAGCACGGTGGGGCCGGAGCCCTCAGGAGTCGCTGAAGTGGGGAAGTGGGCGTCGACAGATGGTTGAAACTGGATGCTGGAGATGGGGATGGACGCTGGAGGATGGAAGCTGTGTGCTGGCAGCCGGGGACTGGAAGCTGAAGGCTGGGGATAGCACAAAACGGGGGGGCTGGCGACGGGGCGCGCGCGGCCGATTTCTTCCCCTTCTGCGCCTCCTGGTGCTGGAGGCGCCAGAGTTTATCTGGGGATGCGCCCAGCGGCGGGCCGAAAAACCAACTGCAGGCAACAAATGTCGTTTCCCCCCGTACTATATCCCACGGACAAATAACCCAATATCCCTGGACCCTCCCGCCCCGGACAACCAGGACAACACATGATGATGCACGGCGATAAGACGGCCTGCCCAGGACAACCCCGTGGATAACCCAGCGGAGATTCGGACAACCCCACAAGATAACCCCCTTGGACAAGCCTCCCCGAGATTTCCGTTCATAAGATCCAATACTTCTCCTATCCCCCTTTTCGACCGACTACCCCTCAATGAGGGGCAGCGAGAATGGGGGCCGGCCGCGCCCACTAAGCATGCCACGCGCGGCTGGGCCGGGCCCCCCCGCAGCGACCCCCTGGGGGCATAGTGCGCGCAGAGGCTTGCCGCTTGCACGCCCTCGGGCAGCCTGCGCAGTGCTAGTCGGCAGCGTCAGCGGACGCAGGCGAGTGGATCTTGGGCGTTGCTCAGTGGGGGGGCGATAATTCGACTACAACCTCCGGCGCGCGGCTTCAGAGGCGCCCGTGGGGGCCCAACGCATTCGCGCAAGCCGGCGTTGCCGCGCTGCATCAACGATTGGCTGGGCGCCACTCGAACGATTTTCTGTGACAGCGGGCATCTGCAGAATTCCGCCGATTGAATTCGAACGCCCCGAATGGCACTTCGAAGGCGCTGCGCAAGCAGACGCTGCCAGGGGCCACCGCGATGAGGTCTGGCACTTCCAGGCTGCATCGCGATGGCGTCTGACCTGGTGACCAGGCTCGGCGTCATGGCCAAAACCGCCCCCATCCGAGAGCCTGAACTATGTTGGAACATTTTCGCATAACTTATAAGAGTAAAGATCCCAACTGGTTCGAATAAGATATTCAAACATATTCAAAGATATCCCTATGTAACCCGGAGAAGCAATTAAGGAACCCCCCGGCGTTATCATTAGCACCGCGCCGTAATTAAATAATTATTTGGGGGGTTTTCGCCGAGCGATATTATTAGCACCGTGCAAATGGAAGGAAAATAAATAATTCCAGCGCCCCGCCTCGGGTGGCATCCCAATTAGAATTGTAATGATAATAAGAATACGAATACGAATAAGGAAAAGCTGAGAAAAGCTCAGGAAAAGCTTAGAAAAGCTAAGAAAAAGCTGAGAAAAGCTGAGGAAAGCTAAGGAAAGGCTGGTGTACCCCCTCCTGGTGCCAGGATAACGCTTCCGGGTGCCGGGTGCGTTATCCTTTCACCGGAGAGGGGGGGGGGGTTCCTTAATCGCTTACTCGGGTTATCCAAGCATGTCCAATCATTTTCAAACCAGACGTTTTGGGATTTGGGCTGGGACTCGGGACTGGTCCTGAACCCGAAAACGCGCCGCCTGGTCGACCGGCTCCCCCTCGGGTAACCAATGCAAACTGCAGGGTGCGACGCGTATGCGTTGCTGTTGATTGCAACGGGCGGGCCCAATCCTGGCGCGCTCAGATGCGAGCGTAATCACGCGATGCAGGTGCCGACGCGAGGCCAAGCTCACTCCGCAAGAACAATCACCCGACCCCCTTTGGGCCAGCACCAAAGGTCCCTCCAGCGAAGGGTCACTCTTACGTGCTGTCGAATACTGAGAACGAGAGAGAGAGAGAGAGAAAAACAAAAAAAAAAAAAAAAAAAACGTGCACCTTTCGTGCCCCTCTTGGGCCCCAGTGGGTTCCTTCAGGGCGCAAAAGGTGCACCTTCTTCACCTCTCCTTTGATCGCCCTCTATTGCCCAATGTCCGATGCACACTTGTAATCGCCAGCGCCGACAGACAAAGACGTATGGGTCGAGATTGGAGGGGCGCGCCCGGCGCGGGGGCACACGAGACAAATGAAAAAGCACAGAGCGGCCGCCGAGGAGCGAGGAGGAGGCAAGCAGCCTGCACACGTGTATGGGTCTGAACCGCTTCACGTGCTGACATCGGCTAGAGCTCGGTGTCCAACGAAAGTTCTCATCGTCACGCAGGGATCGCAGTGAGTCACTTTCGGGAACGGCGAGGAGATCTGATTCAAAAGTAATGGTTTCGACCGCTGCTGGGGCGCCTCGGGTCGAGCTGGGTGGGCCTCAGGTCGGGCTGGGGGTAGCCGCAGGTCTAGCGACGCCAACCTTGTCTAACAAACCCGTCTGGCAACCTCCGATACTTGCGTGGAAGTTCCCTCAAGCCTTCACCGAAGACGCAGAAAGCTTCACAGAAGGCCGGCGAGCTTCTGAGAAGACTTTCTCCCTCTCGCTTCCCCCCGTGGGCGCGCCGCCGAGCGTTGTCTCGAGCAGCCGCGTGCTCGAGCACCGCACCACGCTGCAGCTGAGGTCCCCAGGAGGCGCAGTGCCCGCCCGCGGAGGTCACTGCGGCGGTTCCGTGGCCGCCCCGCCACCCCCCCGGCCGTGGCCGCCTCTCGCCGCCGAAGGCCCCAAGGGGCCGCTGCCGAGGGGCCGCCGCCGAGGGGCTCCAGGCTGCTCGGGGCCCCCAGCAACGAGGGCTGCTCGCCCAGGAGCAGGCGCAGGTCGGCCTGCGCAAGCAGGGCCTGGACGGGGGGGGGGGGACGATGGGACCGCCGCGCGACACTTACTCATCCCGAACCATCACCTCCCCCCTCCTCCTCTCCATTCCTTTTCCGTGTAAATTCGCCGGCCCAACGGGCCAAGGGCGTGCTAAGATCTCCGGTAACTGGTTAACGATATTTCTAGTTCGCGCGCGCGGGGCCGCCCCTGGGGGTCCCCGGACGAAAGTACCCTCAAAAGTCCCGGCCAAGTCCCGGCCAGGACTCGGGCAGGTCCTGGCCAGGACTTGGCGAGGTCCCAGCAGGCTCCCAAGAGCGCTTCAAATGGCCTCCAAGAGAGCTCAACATGGTCCAAGACGGTCCAAGAGCGATCCAAGACGCCAGAGATTGCCTCCAGACAGCCCAAAGCGCCTTAGACGCCCCAAGAGGCCTCCACGAGACCTCCCAGGAGGACCCACAGAGGCAGAAATTTGTGATTGTCCTTCAGTTTGTGTCGGTTTGTGGCGTTCTCGCCTTTTCGGCTTGCCGACGCTCCAAGACGGCCCAAGAGACTTCCAAGACCGCCCCGAGACGGCCCACGAAGCCTCCAAGAGGGCCCCAAGACGGCCCAAGATGGCCCCAAGGCAGCGCAAGAGGCGCCCAAGACAGCCCAAGGGAGCCCAAAAACGGCCCCAAGAGGGGCCCAAGGAGGGGCCCAAGGAACCAACAAGTCCAGCCTTCAGCCTCAAGGGGCCCTCAGGAGGTCCCAAGAGGCCCCCAGGAGGCCCCAAGGGGCCTCCAAGAGGCACCTCAAAAAGACCCAAGAGGCCCCCAAGAGACCCCAAGAGGCCACAACACAGCCCCCAAGAAGCCTCAATATTGCCTCCCAAGTGCCCTTGAGAGCCCAACCACGAGAGCCCAACCAACATCCGTGAGACCTCTGACCCGCCACCCACCGCCTCCGAAAAATGGCAGCCGCCCAACCGCACCGCATTGACATTAACACCCCGACAAACGACAGCGGCGAGGCAATATGGGCTGGCGGAATGAGCGAAGCGATGCAATAAATGCTCCCTGTCGCACCCCAAGGCAATTTTTTTAGGACGGGCCGGGAATTTCGCCTGATACTTCCTCACCATGTATGATTCAAGCTAACAAAATGACAACAGCTTCACAGATGGAGGGCGGGTGCTTTTCAAAATGTGGCTCTCGCCTTAGCGCCGCGCATACTCGCTTTAAACATTGGCAAGAGCTTCACGGATTGAGGGCGGGTGGTTTCCAAAATGTGGCTCTCGCCTCAGAAAGTTGCACGAGCTTCACGGATTGAGGGCGGTTCCTTTTCAAAATGTGGCTCTCGCCCTAGCGCCGCGCACATTCGTTTTAACAAATCGCAGATGTTTCACGGATTGAGGGCGGTTCCTTTTCAAAATGTGGCTCTCGCCCTAGCGCCGCGCACACTCGTTCAGACAATTTGGAAAAGTGGCACGGATTCCCATGATCAACGTACCAGAAACGGTGTTTTGGAAAGAGTCAAGATTATGCGGGTGCAACAATTCTGTTGATTCGCGGCTTTGAAATCCCAACAAATGGCGTTATGGCACGATTCCGGATCGTCAAGACGCTGAAGTCAGGTTGATCCATGGCGTTGAAATCCAGAGAACAATGTTTTGGCATGCTTCAGGGTCTTCAAGGGTGTCGTCCAACGCGGCAGTTCCCTCAATGGAGATGAACCGTTGTAGAGGCCTATGAAGAGGAAGCTTGGAGGGAGGGTGAATCCCAATATCGCTGATGACTCTTTGGTTTACACTGGTCCTCCTCCTCCTCCTTCTCGTCGTCCTCTTCCTCCTCCTCCTCCTCCTCCTCCTCCTCCTCCTCCTCCTCCTCCTCCTCCTCTCCTACATACTCAGACTCACTTACACTCAGGCTCACGCAATCTCAGATTCACTCAGACTGGCTCCAATACACTCATACTCAGACTCACGCAACAATCTCACTCACGCTCAGACTCACTCACGCTCAGGCTGACTCACACTCAGGCTGACTCACACTCGTATACACGCAGGCTCACTCATCATTCAGACTCTCTCAGATTCACAGATTGCGGGGATGTCTCAGGCGGTGTGCCTGTTTGGTTTCTCATCATCGTTCGCTTTCGGAACAGTCTGGGAGGATGTCGCAGGCGAGGTGCTGGTTTTAGCACTCCCAAGGGGGGGCGGCAGGGATGTATTTCACGGCCCCGTTCGCGCTCAGATTGGGGGGAAGTCTCAGGCGGTTCGCGCGTTTCGGACTGTAGCAACCTTTGCTTTCGGCACAGATTTGGAGGATGTTTCAAGCGTAGCGCTCGCTGGTTTCAACACTACAAAAGGGGGCGGCAGGGGCGTGTCTCCCGGGTTCGGTCGCGCCCAGATTTGGGGAATGTTTCCAGCGGTTTGCGTGTCTTTGATTGTGCCAAGCTTTGCCTTCGGAGCAGGTTTGGAGGATATCCTAGGCGAGTCGCTGGCTTCAGCATCCCAAGGATTAATTAGTTGACAGGGGGCATGATGTGATTCGAATGTCAAGCTTCGAGGGTCTACGTGAATGTCCAATGTTTGGGGGGCTCGTCGCTACGGCTTTACGCGGGACGGAAAAATGGTGCATGTGGTGGAGCACGGGAGGAGATCAGGGATTTGGTTTGAAAGGTGTTCGACGGTTTGTGCATTTTCGATGTTCAAAAATTGCAGCATAGATCCTGAGCCGTGAGGCCGTGTTCTAGCCCCGAAGACGTCAGGAGTCGATTCCACGACTTCGGGAGGTAGTTATTGGGCCCCGGGGACGCCAGGAGTCGTCCTCAGAGGATGGGGGGGAGGAGCAGGAGGAAGATGAGGGGGGCTGGGGAGGGAGGGGGAAGATAGAGGAAGAGGAAGAGGAGGAGGACGAGGACGAGGAGAAGGACGAGGAGGGCGGGTGGCTGGCGCCAGAGGATCGAAGTTTGAGGCTTGAGGCGTGAGGTTAAAGTCTCGATGTTTTTGTATCTTCCAGCCTTTTCGGATGTTCTGGGGCGTTCTCGTTTTCACGGCGGGAATCCTTTCGCAATTCTGGTTAAAACGCAGCCCTGGATGTGCTCGGGGATTTTCTCAGCGGAGAAAGAAAAGGACGAGGCCGAGGCATCGTTGCTATTATATCTCGGACGGCGACGACTTTTCCTCCCTCCTCCCAAACCTGCCTCCTATCATCTTCCCCACACTCACACTCACACTCACTCCTCACACTCAGACTCGCTAGCACTCGGACTCGGTCATGCTCAGACTCATCATCATTCAGACTCAATCGTACTCAGACTCACTCACACTCAGACTCACGCATACGCAGATCCACTCCAACCCAGACTCACCCTGCTTCGCTTAGAATCTACCACATCACGTCCTCAAGCAGACTCAATCGTACTCAGAATCACTCACGCACTCAGATGGTGAAGATGCCTCGAGCGAGGCGCTGGCTTCAGCACCCCAAGGGGGAGCCGCCAGGGGGTATTGCAAGGGCCCGTTCGCGTCTGGAGTGTGGGGATACCTCGGGCGAGATGCTGGCGTGGATGCCCAACATTCTTTGCGTTAGCAGATTGTGGCGGTGTCTCAGGCGAGGCGCTGGCTGGTTTCAGCACTCCCAAGGGGGGGGGGGGGGGCAAGGGGGTATTTCACGGCCCCGTTCGCGCCAGGACTTCGGGAATGTCTCAGACCGTTTGCCTGTTTGGTTGCTCAGCATCTCTTGATTTGGGAACAGTTTGGGGGGATGTCTCAGGCGATGCGCTGGTTTCAGCACTCCCAAGGGGGAGCCGCCAGGGGATATTGCACGGGCCCGTTCGCGCACAGATTGTGGGGATGTCTTAGGCGGTTGGCTTGTTCAGGGTCCCCCGGGTTTTCCTTTGGACTTGTGTTACTTAGACGCCTCCGGACCTCACTCACTCACCACAAACCCTTCTTCCCCACTCAGACACATTCAGGCTCAGACTTACTCTTCAGCACCTCTTTCTCACTCAGACACACATCTCACACTCAGACTCAACCATACTCAGACTCGCTCAAAACCACTCTCGCTTATACTTGTACGCGCTTTTTACGCAGGCTCGCTCACACAGGCTCACTCACACGCAGATTAACTCACACTCGGCCTTACTCACACTCATATCCACCGACCAAGTGACTCACTTCTGCTCAAGCTCACTCGTACTCAGACTCACTCATACTCAGACCCATATCAATCTTACTCATATGCAGACTCACTCACACTCAGACTCAGGTAGATCCAGACTCACACACCCTCAGACTCGCCCGCCCTCAGATAATTACATTCTGTCACGCTCACTCGTACACGGACCCACTCAGACTCAGGCTTATACACATCAGGTCATTTTCATACCCACTCATACAGACTGACCCACACTCAGACTCACCTTCGCCCAGACTCATTCATACTCAGACTTACGCTTTCTCATATCAACTCGTACTCAGACTCTCTGATACCCAGACTCGCTCACACTCACACTCAACCAAAACCCAGTCCACTCACCCTCAGACTCACTCGCCTGTAGACTCACTCACGCTCATATTCATTCAATATTGTCTCTGTTGGAGGTCTAATGCTCCCTCGCTCTTCGACATGTGTTTCCCTCATCTCTCCTGAAAGTTTACCAGATGAAGAGGACGTCACTGGAGACATTGCTATCGCCGTCGTCGTTGTCGCGCCCGTCGTTGACGCTGACTCGCTCACACAAAAAAGCTCACAGACAGAGTTCCTCAGCGGGACGTGACAGGAGGATGAGATGCACTTGGGACCTCCGCCTCGATAGTTTCCTCGGTTTCAGCTTCTGGGGACCATTCTCGGGCCCAAGGGACATCAAAGACGGATCCAGGACGAAGAGCGATCCGCGGGGATGAATCGGCGACTCCGACGGGTGTGGTTCGCAAAGGGTGTGGTTTGCAACCGGCATCCTGGGGGAAACCCTGGGGGACGGGCGAGGACCTCGACAGAGCTCCCCACCGCGCCCCGAGGAGGCCCGACGAGGACAGTGTAGAACTCCCCAGGGTTCAACGGTGCTGATCCCAAACCACACCCCACCGTAAACCTACCCTGTGCAGTCGCCGAGAGAATTCGAGAACTCTAGGACCGCGGATGGAACAAAAACAGGTCGCCAGATACATCGGCGGGTCCAGGAGGGAGGGTGTCCTGACGACCCTTCGCCGACTTTGGCCCCCAGCTGGGGTCCTCCACGGGCCCCGGGGTCCACGGGCCCCGGGGGCTGTCCACAAAACGATTCGGGCTGGAGAGCTGGTCCTGAACAAAACCGGGGTTCAAGACGCGTTTCCATTGGGGACCCCGTCCTTCGTGGCGATGGGGGGGAGGAAGCGGACAAGGGAGACTGGCAAAAAACAGCACAGGCAATCGCATGCGATCCATGTCCAGAGCATCACCAAAATCATATCATTGCCATCAAGACCTCCGTCTACTCTTCGTCCTCCCTCTCCTCTTCCGGAACCTAAGCAACCATTCCTCCTCCTCCGCCTCCTCCACATCAGTGTCATCATACTGATCAGCAGCAGCACCACCACCACCACCATTATCATCATCATTACCAGCAACAACAGCATAACCAGCATCAATCATCACTGGCATCGTCATCACCATCGTCATCATCACCATCAACATCATCAGCATCAGCATAACCACCAGTATCATCATCATCATCATCATCATCATCATCATCTTCATCATCATCATCATCACCATCATCACCAGCACCATTATCATCATCATCATGATCGCCAGCAACATCATCATCATCATCACCATCAATAGAATCATCATCACCATCGTCAAGAAACGTCATCACCCTCCTCATCATCATAACCTTAAGCAGCAACACCATCATCATCTTGTCACACTCATCCTCATCATCTGCATCCTCATCCTCATCATCGGCAGCATCCTTATCCTAATCCTCATTATCATCATCCTCATCATGCTCATCATCATCATCATCATCATCATCATCAGCATCGCCATCATCAGCAGCATCAGCGTCACCATCCTCCTCATCATTAGCAGCATCAGCATCATCATCAGCAATGTCATCACCATCATCATCAACAACTTGATCAGCATCGTCGTCAGCATCAGCGCCATCAGCATCATCATCCGAATCATCAACATCAGCATCATCACCATCATCATATTCATCACCAACATCAACATCATGATCATACGCATAATCATCATCATCAGCATCATCATGTTGGTCATCATCATAATCATCGGCATCGTCAGCATCAGCATCAACATCATCAACACCATCAACACCCTCTGCATCATCATCTCCGTCATCACACATCAGCATCCATCATCCTCATAATCATCGTCACCATCATAATCATAAACATCATCGCCGTCATCCTACCACGATGATCCTCATCTTAGTTGTCATCCTCATCCTCATCAGTATCATCATCGTCCTAGCCCTCATCCTGCTCATCATCCTCATCCTCATGCCAATCCTCATCCTGATCCTTATCATTATCATCATCACCACCACCACCATCATCAACATCACCATTGTCATCCATATCATCATCAACAGCAGCATCATCACCGTCATCATCAGCATCACCATCAACATCCTCATCGTCATCAGCATCACCATCAGCATCATCAGCAACATCATCATCATCATCATCATAATCATCATCAGCATCACCATCAACATCATCATTATCATTATCATCATCATCATCATCATCATCATCATCATCATCATCATCATCCGCATCATCATCATCACAAGCAGCATCATCATAAACAGCACACCCATCATCAAGATCAGCATCAACATCTGCAGCATCATCAGCATCAGCATCACCGTCATCATCGCCACCATCGCGATCATCGCCATCATCGCCATCATCATCAGACTCATCAGACTCATCATCATCATCATCATCATCATCATCATCATCATCATCCTCATCATCATCATCATCATCATCATCATCATCATCATCATCATGATCGTCATCGACATCGTCACCGATATCGTCATTGTTATTGCCATCGTCATCCTCGTCATCGTCACTGGCATCGTCATCGTCATCTTCATTGTCAATCGGTCATCATATTCATCAGAATCATCATCGCTGATCCCCTCCACCTGCTGGCCCTCCCCTCTCCTCCAGAGCTCATACCTGTTCTACCCCCCCCCCTCCTGCCTGGGCCTCGAGGTTGCAGTCGCCACCTCAGCCGGGGCCGCGTCCCCGAAGGCTCTCCATCTACGCCGGAGAAAAAAAGAATGAGGATGAGTGGGAGGATGTGAGGGGGGAGAGGAGGTCGGAAGGAGGGGCAAGGGGAGGGGATGGTGGAGGAATGGATGAAAGAGCGATGCGGAGTGAGGGAGAGGATATAGGAGGGAGGGGGAGGAAAGAGGAGGAGGGAGGGAGGATCGGTAAGGAGATTGGAAGGGGCGGTGGAAGGAAGGTGAGATTGGAGGATGATCTCCTTGTCATCTTTCTCCCTCAAGGCCCCATTGCACCCATCTCCCCCCTTCACTCAGACACGCTCATGCAATGCCAGCGGTCGAGTCAAAAGCTCACCTCCTATACTTCCCCACCTCCTCCCTCCTGTATCCCCTCCTCCTACGTAGCCCTTCGCCACTATACGCTGCCGAGGCCAAAACGGTCATGCCGCCGCGTTGTCATCCTCTTTGGGGGACGACGCGACATCGTCCTCCTCCTCCGACTTCTCCGGCTTCTCCAACTCTTCCTCCTCCTCCCTCCTACCCCTCCTCCTCCTGTCCGGTTCTCCACCGTGCGCCCCCCTCTCCCCCCGCTTGCACTCGCGGGAACGCCCCAACCCAGGGGTACGGGGCAGCATCGAGCCCGCCAGAACCGATAATCGAGTCGCATCGACATGAGCCCTGGGAGGTGCTTGGTTGCCGTCCTCCTCCCGCCCTGCACCTCTTCTGGAGGGGAGGGGCTCTGGGCTTCGGGTCGCTCCTCTGATCTGGGTCGGGCAACCTGCTCGCCGCCCCGGCCCGCCGTGGCCAGAAAGTCCCCTTCGTTTTTCCCAGCCGTCCTGTGGTGCTGGGTCCTCGGTTTGAAGAGACACCGCCCCGCGTCTCCTCTCCTCCTCCTCCCCCTGCTCCCTCCTCCCTAGCTCCCGGTACAGCGCTCCGTCGCCCCAAATGGAGCTCCACCGAAGGCCCCAGTGGCGCAACTCGCATGCGTCTCCCGCACCCAGCACAACGCTTCGTGGCCTAACAAGGAGCTCCACCGAAGGTCCCAGTGGCGCAGCCCGCATGCGTCTCTCAGACCTAGTACACAATTCGTGGCCCCATAGGGAGCTCCACCGAAGGTCCGGTGGCGCAGTCTGCTTGCGTCTCCCACACCCAGTACAACGTTTGGTGGCCCCGTACGGAGCTCCACCGAAGGTTCCAGTGGCGCAGCCCGTATGCGTCCCCCCGACCCAGTACAGCGTTTCGTGGCCCCAGAAGGGGGTGACTGGCTCAGGGGGGAGCGCCGAGGTGGCATCGGCGATACTTCGCCGATAGATCGGCGATAGGCCCTGCACAACAAATTCTCACTCTCCACGACGGGGTGGGCCATTGGGCCCCTATCCGCGATCAATGGGCGATTGGGAGTCGATGCACCTTCTCCTGAGCCTATCCGTGATCAGTGGGCGAAGGAGAGAGGGCCAGCACACGCCACGCACAGAGCGAGAAAGCCAGGAGGTGGCAACTGCGCCGCAGCTCGGGCGGTGCAGTGCAGCCCAATCGTGATACCATACGGAACGCCAAATTGTGAACAAACAGAAGTCCCTGGCCACAGCGGGCCTCGGCCACAAACATGTTCCCCGACCCAGGTCAAAGGAGCGGCCCGAAAATCAGATAGCCCCTCCTGAACTCGAAAGCGTCTCTATTCCAACGTCTTGACCGTCATTACCGGAGCCCGCACTCCTTCCAGAAGTGCAGATTGAGTATGCGGAGAAAAAAGCGAAGACAACGACGGCCAAGCGCGACGAGGAAAGTGGCACCAGCGCTGACCACGAGAGATCCGCGCAGAAGGATCGATCGAACGGCGTGTGCTCCAGGCAGCGTGCGATCCAGGCGGCGCGTGGTCTAATACCTCTGATTCTTCTGAATGCACATCGGGCGCGACCGTGCTGCCACCACATGGATCGTGAGGCCCTCGACTCGACGGCCGTCCCCCAGGACCAGCTCTTCATCCCGAGCCGTACAAATTAGCCTGGCGAAGGACCCAACCATGTGCAGTTGTGAATAGCGCGATGCTAGGTATCGTCTTGGGTGGAACCCCCTTATAGGGCCACGCAACGCTGTACCTGGCGGGGGAGACGCATGCGGACTGCGCCACAGGGACCCTCGGATGAACTCCTTATGGAGCCACGGAACGCTGTACTGGGTGGGGCGGACGGGGACCTTCGGTGGAGCTCCCTACGGGGCCACAAGACGCTGTACTGTGTGGGGGAGACGGAGGCGGACTAAGCCCCTGGGGCAGTCGGTGGAGCTCCCTTCGGGGCCACAAAACGCTATACTGGGTGGGGGAGACGCATGCGGGCTGCGCCGCTGGGACCTGTGGAGGAGCTCCATTTGGAGCCACGGAACGCTGTACTGGGTGGGGGAGACCCATGCGGGCTGCGCCGCTGGGACGTGTGGTGGAGCTCCATTTGGGGCCACGAGACGCTGTACTGGATGGGGGAGATGCATGCAAGCTGCGCCACTGGGACCTTCGGTGGAACTTATTGTGGGGCCACAAAGCGCTGCACCGGGCGGGGGAGACGCATGCGGGCTGCGCCACCGAACTTTCGGTGGAGCTCCTTACGGGGCCACGAGACGTTGATTTGGGTGTGGGAGACGCATGCAGGCTGCGCCACTGAGACCTTCAGTGAAGCTTATTGTATGGCCACGAAACGTTATACTGGGTGTGGGAGACGCATGCGGGGTGCGACCCTGGGACCTTCGGTGGAGCTCCCTATGGGGCCACGAAGCGTGTGAGGGGTGTGCCAAAGTGAAGGGGGTGACAGGAGCAGGGAGGAGGGGAAGGAGGAGAGGAGAAGAGAGGAGAGGAGAGGTACGCGAGGCGCTGTCTTGTCAAAACGAAGACCCAGCAATAGGATGATTGGGAAAAACAAAACTCCGTCGGGATCAATTTCACTCACGACCCATTCCCAAAAACCGCGTGATGACGAACAGCGTGGTGACCTCGGAACCCCCAGCGACCTCACCGCGCGGTCCGTCACCGCAAGGTTTTTGGGACGCTGCAGGCCCCGGTCGCTCGAAGCGTCCTCGGAGAACGACCCGAGTCCCGAAACCGTACGGTGGTCCCGAATCCCCACTGACACTCCGCGCGGCATGGTCACCACACGTTTGGGGAAACCCACAAGGTACCGAAGCCGCTATTCCCTGAATCTCTCGTGCGTTCTGCCCAGAACTTCGGGGCGAATCCAGCCGTGTCGACGGGGGCCTCCCAGGAGGCTCGAAAAAGGTGAATATCGAGGGAGGGATAGCGGTATTCGTATATTTTTCCTCGTCCGACGTTTATTGGCGGCGCGAAGAGGCGGGTTAGGGAGAGGGGAGAACGCTTCTTAGAAGAAGGCTGCTCCTTAGAAGGCGCGGGCCGCGGGCCTTGTCTGTCGATGTAGGGGGCGCGACTTCTAAGAAGAAACCAGCCGCCTTCGAAGAAGCCCTCCCCCTTCAAACAGAAGAGTATCCTTCAAGAACATGATACCCTCCGCCGGCCAAACTGGAGTACATTCAAAGGTGCCCTTCCCCAGGATGCACCAGAACATGCATCGGCGGCTAGGCAGAGCAACTGCGCTGGCGGGAGGGCTACCTAAACAGAGAGACCGTTGTAGCGAATTGTGCCACAACGCAAGGAAAATTGAAAAAGAAGGGAAGGGCGGCCGAAGGAAAGGCATGGGAACGAAGACCGCTCTCAGGAGGACGGGTCACACCCGGAGCGCGTGGCGCTGCCGGCTCCGCCGGCAGGGTCTGCGGCGGCTGCTGCGCCATGGGCCCAACGGCGGCGGGGAGCAGTGCGGGTACCAGAACAAGTCCAGTAACATCCGAGGAACACAAACATTAGGGCACCCTCTCCGAACCGTCCTCGATCGTATACCTTGGTCCGACTGTACCCCTAGCCTCCTCAATGCGTGGCCGAGTTTGGGGCCCCCCATTCCATGGCGTCCAGTTACCGCGGCACCAAAAGGGGTGGGGGGGCCAGGTGCTCCGAAGGGGGGCAGCAGAGGCCCCGGCACTCGTGGCTGAGCCTCGACGCGGCGAGCGCGTGCTGCAGGGCCTCCTTGCAGGCCGCCTGGCGGGCGCCAGGCGTCGTCGGCTTCGGCGTCGTCGTCGTTGCGTTTTCGTCAGCGTCGGCGTCGTCGTCGTCTCCCCCCGCCGCCGCCGCAGCGTCGGCGTCGTCGTTGCCTCCGTTTCGTCAGCGTCGGCGTTGTCGCCGTCGTCTCCGTCGCCGCCGCCACAGTCGTCAAAGGGGGAGCAGTAGAGTGGGAGGAGGCTTCGAGGGGTTCGAATGAGGGCTCTTGGACGCCGTCGGTAGCTGTGGGTGGGGTTCCTGGTTTCCGAATTTGGAAGAGGAGGAGGTGGATTCCTTCTCATCCCCCTCCTCCTCCTCCTCCTCCTCCTCCTCCTCCTCCTCCTCCTCCTCCTCATTCTCCTCCTCCTCCTCCCGCTGCCCCGTCACCTTCTCCCCATCATCATCGATTCCGTCACCGTTGCCCTCATTATCCAAACCCTTCCGTCCTAGTCCTTCGGCGTAGCTGCCTCGTCCGACCAGGGAGGCCATAATCGCAGAGGTGCGCTGAAACGCTCGGGATTCGTACTATTGCTGTCCGCGTCTTCGCCCTTCGCCCGCGTCCCATGCCTTGTGCTTGCATGTGCTTCACCCCTCATCCTCTCGGGCCTGCCTCTTCGGAGGCAAACCAATCCAATCATGATCAATGCTCCTTAGCATTCGCTCGTCATGGAACCTTCCGCCCTGCTGTCCTCTCATCGTGCTCTCTCCTCCGCTTCCTCCCGAATTACTCCTCCACTCGCCCTCGTGCGCTTATCCTCCTGTTCCTGCCCTCTCTCCGCCTCCTCCATCTCCATTATCGCGTCCTCGTCCTCGTGCTCGTCGTCGTCCTCCTTCTCATCTTCCTCTTCCTCACCACCTTCCATTCGTCCTCCTTCCACTTGTCCTCGTCGTCGTGCTTGGTCCCTGTCCTCGTCCTGGTCCTCGTCCTGGTCATCGCTCTCATCATTGTTCTCCTCCGTTCTCCTCCCACCCCCTCTGCTTCCCCACTCCCCCGTCCCGAGGAGGGGGGGGGGGAGGAAGGCGAACGAGGGGAGGAGGCGCTCCGCATCCCTCCTCGCCACACCCTCCAGCGCCACCTGGCAGCCCTGGGCGCCTCAGAAAGCGAAACAATATGATAGTGGAACAACAACCATGCATGGCGTGGAGAAGATCGGGCAAGCTGAATTAGTCGGACCCCATGTCGGAGGCCTGGAGGTTAGAGGGGCATCGCTCCAAACGGCTCCTGGACGAAGGGAAGATCAGACAAAGAGGAGAAACGTATATATATATGTATGCGTATGAGGATCAATGGGGATTTCTGAGAACTGGCGGCTCTGGAGGATGCAATTGTCGGGCGCAGCTGCCGTTTCAGAGCGTTCGGGCACGACGCTCTGGGAGCGTCCTCCTCCTCCTCCTCCTCTTCCTCCCTCTCCTCCCGTTCCTCCTCCTCCTCCTCCTCCTCCTCCTCCTCCTCCTTCTCCTCTTTCTCCTCCTCCTCTCCTATTTCTCCTCCTCCTGCTTTCTAGTTGTATGTATCTTCATCTTCCTGCTACTCTTCCTCCTTCTCCTCTTCCTCCCCCCCTCCTCCTCCCCCTCCCCCTCCCCCTCCATCTCCTCCTTCTCCTCCTCCTCCTCATCCTCCTCCTCCGCCTAACCGCCGTCTAGGACTCGAGGCAAACGGCTTCCGCCCGTAAGAAAATCACCAATCTTGTTTCGACTCTGGCTTTTACGCGCTTTGTCTGGCGCTGATGTCACTGTCGCGGGGGCTCCCACACTCGAGGACAGTTGTGAGGCCCTCACGGGTTGGGACATATTGCTGATTGCAGGGGCAAAACATAAGGGACTTGAAGTGGAACCACTTGCACACGGGAGGATGGGCAAGCATTGGGGGTTGCGCAATGGATGGAGGAAAGGGAAATTGGTTCACAACAGTTGTGGTGTGTCGGTCGTGGTCAGCAATCGGATGCCACAGATATGTTTTGGGGGCGTGTACGTACCTCCCAACCTACTGCGTGGACGTCATTAGGAGCACGAGTGCAGGGACAAAAATATGACTTCGCCGTGTTGTGTGTGTGCCTTGTCAACGCGCCCGACAGGAAGCACTAAGCGACAGCGAATGAGATCGTGGCTCGGCTAGACAATACATTATACATATATATATATACACACAAACTAGAGCCATCGCGCGCGCTCAAGTTCTAGCTAGGCTTGATCGGCTGCCTCATGTAATTTCATATGTGTCGCTTCTTGCGTCCAGGGACTACTCCCTTGGAGGCCCTGCGCAAGCCTTGGAATCGTATAGAAGGGGAAGTGCGGAAACGCAGAAATCACTAATTTCCTTTAGGTATTCAACGATTTGGGGCCCTCAAAAGCTTCCTGGGCTCTTTTTGGAGAGGTGAAGGGGGTCTGAATTGTGGTCTGTTGTGAAAGAATAGACCTGGGGCCAAACTTGAAACAATCAGGAATTGTGGAATTTCCTGTTCTTCCAATTCCTCGGCGCTGTTCGGCGCTGTTTTCTGTTTGTGCCTCGCGGGGTTTGTTAGCCGGGCCCCTCAGGGGTGTGGGATCTTCTGGACCCCCTGGAGGTTTTGGAGGCCTCCTGGGAGCGTGCAGAGCGGTCCACAGGGTGTTTTGGACTGCTTGGGAGCGTCGTGGGCCGTTCTTTACGTTCTGGGAGCTTCGTGGGGTCGTCATGGGCTGTCCTTCGGCGTCTTGGAGTCTCCCCAAGAAGCCGGGAGGCGCGGTACCGGCCAGATGTCAGGGAATGTGTAGGACCCCCGAGTAGGAGTCCCACTTTGGAAAAAAATGAATTCTGGGAATTCCAAATGTGTTTCAAAAAACTCGATATTCGAGGGTTGGAAGCGGGAAAACGTGAGAAGGCGAAAAACATTACAAAAAACCATCAGAACTCAACGATTCTACCCTCTTCGGGCTCTCTCAGGGCGGCTCTTGCAGCTCTCTTGGGCTGTTCTTGGAGCCTCGTCGGGGTCTTTTTGGGGCCTCTCAGGGATCGGCGGTGTGTTGGGAGCCTCTGGGTGGTCCCAGAGGCATCTCGGAAGTCTCTGGAAGCCTCCTGCTCCCGCTCTTGGTCCCATCTTGGGCCTGTTCTGGGGTGGTCTGGGGCTGTCCTGGGCGCCTCTTCGGCAATCTCGGAGCCTTCTTGGCCCGTCTTGGGGCCGTCCTGAGGGTCCCTTGGGTGGTCTTGGGGCGGTCTTGGGAGCCTCTTCGGCGTTCTTGGACCGTTGGGAAGCTCGAAAACGCGCGAAACCCAAAACATTGAAAAAGCACTGCACATCGAAGATTTTAGCCTTTTCGGGCCGTCCCGGGGCGCCTCTCGGACCTCTCTTAGGGCCTCTTGGAGGCCACCTGGGAGCCTCGAGAGCCGTCGGAAAGCTGACTTGGGCTGCTTGGGAGCGTCGTGGGCCATCCTTTCGCATTCTCGGGGCTCCGGGGAGACATCTTGGGCCCTCCTGGAGCGCAGTGAAGACTCCCCGGAAAGGCCGGGGGAGCGGTACCGGGAGCGTTCCCGAAATGTGGCGGGGAGGTGTGGGACCTCGGGCCGGGGGGGGCGGTACATATATATATATATATATATATATATATATATTGCAGCAATCACTGATGTTTCTTTGCGGCATGAGTCGTGGCCAGGTCCCTCCGATCCATCGCCCAATGTGCTCAAGTTTTTTCTGCTGCATAGGTCAGCAGCATATGGTTGAGTGGGCCTTCTCCTATTCATCGACCGCCCACTTCATATATACGCTCACCCGAGACGCCATCGCACCGACCAGGTGCGAGTGCACCTGCCCTGCTCCGCCCGCCGCGGCGGAGGTCTGCGAGCCCGTGTTCGGGATCGTCAAGGAGGCGGTGGGGCGCCCACTGGTGTGCCCAGCGGCGCCCGCTTGTACCTGTGCTGCAGCACCGCCTTGTCCTGAGTGCCCGGGCGCGTCGACACCCCCTGCGGGCCCGCCGAACGGCGGGCGGACGGTGCCTCTGGAGTTCGCCGTGAGCTTCAGCTTGCTGTGTCTGCTCCTCGGCTACGTGTTCGGGAGGTGCGGAGGGCGTCGCCGAGTGGTGCGGTCGTCCACGTCTGCCGCCTTGCAGGGACCAGCGTCTCGTGAGGAGGTGGAGGCATGGCGGCGATCGATCGGACTCTAGACGCAGACAAGATGCAGACTCTCGTCTGCTACGACGACGACGCTGCTGGGCTGCACTACCACCACCGTGTCTTGTTCACCAGGGTGGCGGCTGGTCGGTGGATCAGAGGGTCCCCAGACGGCGATGACTATGAAGGGGGACTTCAATGGGGTTGATGTGCGGCCGTTGGCTCGGAGCGGGGCCTTCCCGGTCGACCTGGGTGTGACGATGTACGCGTTTCGAGGGCCGCTGCGAATCCCTGCTCGGATCGCCACCATGCACGAGCAGGCGCGCGGGATCACTGAGGTGCTGGGGGTTGCTCCTGCACCAGAGGCGGGGGGCGTTGCAGGCTCCAGCTGGCGCGTGGCGGACCCCTCGTCGGCTGAGTTTGATCAGGTCGTCACTGCCGCGGAGCTCGCTGACTCCACTGATGATCGCGATGATGGTGTCAGAGTTCAGCGGTTGGCTCTCATCGGCGGCATCACCCAGCTGGTCGAGCTCGTGAAGGACTCAGACCACGATGCGAGGCTTGCTCGGAAGCGGGGTCGACTGCCTGGCGGTGCTTCAGGCGACCTGCGGCTGCTTGGTCAATTCCTGAACTCTGCGCAAAGGCGAGTGCTGCCGCTGTCGAAGGCGATGGAGCTTGTGACGCCCAAGGCTTTCGCAGGCCTCATCCTGGGCCGGAGGCTATCCAGGAGTTTCTCGAGTCGGTCCTTGGGAACGGCGGTGACCTCCAGGTGTGGCTCGACGCTCTGATGCATAAGTCTGGGGTCAGCGAGAACTCGTCCGTGGCACGTGAGCTTCGGGACCTAGTCCAGATCGCGAGGCTCGAGATCGGCTACGACCAGATCGACTCGACCAACCTCGCCTGCACCGAGCAGGCG